TGAGTGCTGGGATTACAGGAGTGCACGACCATGCCCAGCTTCCAAAGACTTGAGTGTTGGTGGGCATAGCTGCCTTCCAAAGGTTCTTGGAGCCACGTGGCTAGGTACAGTCACAGCAATGACCCCACTTCTCTGGTACCAAGTTCTGTCATAGTTACTTTTATCATTGATGAGACAAAATATTCAACACCCAAAGTTAAGTCAGGAAAAGTTTATTTAGCTCATAGTTTGTAGAGGTTTCAGTCCATAGTCGGCTATCTCCAAGGTCAGGTGGAATGGCAGACAACATCACAGAGGAGAAACAGTTCAAGGTGGGCAGAAGGTAGTAAAACAAGTAAAATAGGGATAACTACATTCCTTTCTACCCCTTATATCTTATTCAGGATACTTATGGCAGGTAGCACTCACAATCTTAACCCCAGTGCCCTTGATCCTAGCATTGCAACATGAATCAATTCCAGCATCACACACTCCAGATCCAGCCACCTCTGAAAAAGCTCTACCTATGACTGCATGAGGCTGTGAGGAGACAAAGCTACAATAATTAAGATGTGTTCTAACCCCATGACTTTGTGTTTATAAAAAGAGGGAAATCTGGACAAAGAATATGGCCATGTAAAATAAGAGGCAGCATATGCCTTACCCCAGGTCCCTAGGGTTAGGTTAGTGTCTCCAACTCCAGTTGGGTAGCAGAGCACAGGGACAAAAAGTTGCCCAGCTGCAATGGACCAGGCACCACACCCCGATGTGGCTCCCTGAATCTGAGAGCCAAACCATGGCCTGGAGCTGTGCTGACCAACATAGTAGCTACTAGTTGTCTCTTGTTATGGACTTCTCAATGAGTTAAGATGAAATAATATTAAAACATCAGTTTCTCAGCCACACTAACCACATTCCAAGTGTTCCATAATCAAATGTGACCAGTGGCTACCATGCCAGGCAATGCAGATGAGTATTTCCATCCTCCCAGAAAGTTCTTTGCATCAATGTTGGTGCAGAGTGATTTGCAGCCTTGACTGTCCATTGTTTTCACCCAGGAAGATTTTTAAAACTGATGCCTGGGTTTTCCCTGTAAAGGTGTTAAAGAGCAGCCAGCACAAGACCCACTGTTTCAAAGCTCCATTTACTTTATTCACTGCAAAAATTCTCAACTTTGAGTCTAAATCTTATGTGGGTGTTTGTACCCTGTTCTCACCCATGTAAGCAGGGTCAAGGCAGGGCGCTTCTGTTTTGTGGGATTTGCTCTTTTATCCCAGCTGGGCCACCTTGACCCTTTCCCTTCTCCCTGGGGATTATGAAAGAGACCTGGCATTTCTGATGGGATTTGTGGAGGGTAGAGGAGGAAGGACATGGCTTAGGTTCATGAGATGTGGGAGGAGGACTTGGCACTAGACACTTTCTCAGCTCACCTGAGTGGATCGTGAGGCATGCAGCTGCTGCCTGCTCTGTGTCCATGCACTTCCTGGAAACTGCTCCCAAGGGCCCTCTGGTTCCGAGACACCACTATTTGCAGGTATCTCATGGCAGCTTCAGTCCTGTTACCCACTTCCTGCAGTGTGAAAGGAGAGGTTCAAGCTGGATGGCTCAACTACAGGGGCATTCTAATGTCCCTACCAGTGAAGGCTTTTTACTAGAGTGGCCACCGCCAGTGGCCAAGCAGGACTGGTTGAGGCTGGAGGCTGCTGACTCCATCGGACCTGACCTCAGTTTGAGAGCATGACCTAGGCCTGTAGAGAAAGCTGGCATGCCAGTTCCACAGATGCCCAGAACTGCTGTGGGACTTCCTGGGGAGGGCATTTTGTAGGGTCAGTGTCACACAACAGGTGGACCTGGAGCTGTAGACCATTCTGTATGAGGCATCTTTTTTGGTTCATTTCAGCCCCAGGAGGGGACTTGTGGCTCCTTTGTCTTTTAAGACTAACCCTTAGTCATCTTGCTGCACCAGGTAGGCTTACAGTCTGCCCCGCTCCTCACCCCACCTCTTAGACCTGCTCACCACACTCCTATTCAGTCCTCCAACCAGACTTTTGCCGAGTCAGTTGCCTACACCTGGGCCACCCTTGCTCTTCTGAGTCCTAGAGCTCACATTCTCATGGGGAGAAGACAACAATCAAACAAGTCCAGTGTGTCAGATGGCTATAAATTACTGGGAAGAAAACAAAGTAGAGAAAGGAGAGGGCTGGGTTGGCATTTAAGTAGGGTGGTCAAGGAAGGATACACCAAGGTGACATTTGAACAAAGTCCTAATGGAAGTGAAGGACGCTGCTAAGGGAGCCAGAGTAGGAATGCTGAGACAGGAGTTTGGCTGGTATTTTTTTTTCTTTCTTTTTTTTTTAAAGACAAGGTCTCTGTATGTAGTACAGGCTGAACTTGAACTCCCTATGTAACCCAGGCTGACCTCAAACTCCTGGCAATCCTCCTACCTCAGCCTCCTGAGTGCTGGAATTACAGGCATGCACCACCATACCTGGCTTCTGGCTGGTGCATTTTTTTTTTTTTATACTGGGGATTGAACTCATAACCACATGCTTGCAAAGCAGGTGCTTATGCCACTGAGCTAAATCCCCAGCTGGGTTACATGCATTCTTGACAAGAACAGTGAGAAAGTCAATGTAGCTGCAGCTATGGAGAATGTTAGAGGCAGAGAGGTGTCAGCCAGATCAATGGAGTAGAGAAGCATGAAGTCATACACCTCATATTGACAATTTAACATCAAGTTCAGACATGAATTAATAGCTCATGAATTTTCCCTCCTCAGTCATGTCTGTATTATAATTATTTTATAGCTGTGACCATGTAGGCTGGGAGAGGTGGTATGACTCTGGCTAGCTCACCCAACTTGGAAGCAGCAGGACATGTACTCATCTTCAGACCTGCCCAACCCTGGAAAAGCCCTGAGCTTCCCTGCCAGAGTTTCAAACTTTAGCCATCAGCAAGTGCAGGACAGACTAACAGTACTGACGGGACTTTCCAGGGGCAGGCTGGGCTGGTCTCAGTGGGGAATGTCCAGCTTTTCATCCTTTTTCCTTGTACTCATCTGGAATAGCCTTGGCCCTTGGGGAGAGGGATGGGGAGTGATGACAGGAGGAGAGGCTCTGCCATAGGGACCTGCCTGTGGGCTTTGGAACAGACAGAGATCTCTCCACTTGCCATGTCTAGTTTGAAAACCATTTTACATACCATTCTCTAAATTCAGTTTTCTAAAGTACAAGCTCTTATAGGTCAAAAGTACTCAAGCATAACACATGGCTAAAGGAGTAGGGTAAGACCAGTAGAGAACACCAGGCTTGTGTAAAGGCAGCATAGAGGGGAATTTATTGTGATAGGGTGCAAGCAGACAAAAAGCAAAAAGGCCTTCCGTAGGGGACAAAGAGAAGAGTATGGGACATTAGGCGGGAAGACTTTAATAAACATTTGTGGTCAAGGATCTCTGGCTGTCTTGCACCTAAGTGTGCAGTCCTTGAAGGTCCAGTGTAAATTTTCAGGTGTCTCCAGATGTCCCAGAATGGGAAAGATTCCTTGTGCTTGCTTCTCTCTTTTTCGACATCCTGTGCTTGTAGATGGTAGCTGTGCTGCTGAGCAGAGTTCCCTGCTGAGAACAGCCTCTGCTTGGCAGGTGGGTTGGGGGCTGGGAGAGGCAGGTCGGACTGGAGCCTTACCCTCCAGAGTTAAAACTGGCAAAACCCCAGAACTAAAAATACCACCCAACAATGCATGTATTTTTTTTAACATAATTGATATGTTATCATATTGATGTATTTTTCTGTATTTTTTTCTTTTGTAATTTTTCGGCCCTAAATGTTTGGCTGGTACACAAGAAAGCTGAATATGATCAGAACGTTTGCGAAGAGAAAAGAAAATCATCCTTTGAATAGTGTTGAGAACCAGGGATTTAGCTCAGAGACATAAGTGCCTGTCTGGCAAGTGCGAGGTCGTGAGTTTGATCTCCAGTACAAAAAACCCACAAGAAGCAAAAAACCCCACAGTGTTGAACTTCAGAGAGAGAGAGAGAGAGAGAGCGCAGTTACTATATTTGTTTCAAAGGTTTCATAGTGTCTAATTTAAATTAGCCTGAACATTTCTAAGGTATAGGAATCACACGGCTCCATGGTGCCACATCACAGTAAAGATGGGATTAAATGCATGCGCATTTCTTATGTCTGGCTTCAGATCTTTCAGGTCCAAATCAGAGATGGTCTTGCCTCGTGCCAGCTTCAGAATTTACTGAACTTGGGTAAGTTTGCAGATCCAGGGACAGACTCTTACATCTTGGTGTGTGGTAAAAAGCCTCACGGTTGAATGAATTCTAATCGCTGTTGGAGTCTGGACAAGTTGGCCTGACCAGGAGAGGCGATGGGAAGTTCTTAAATCTTGCAAAACAAATTTGTTTAGAGTCAGAAGTAAACTAGGAAGATCCCCGCTGGAAGGCCTGGTAGAGAAGTCTGAGGTCAGCCTGGCCCTCTGGACCGCAAAAAAGGTGTAGGGACGGCCTCTACTGGCCAGTCCACGGTGCTGCCTCCTCCTGTAGCTGCTCCTTGTGGAGGTCGCAGACCTCCCCTTCTCTCCAATCACGAACCTGGACAACAATCCACAGAGAACAGGCTGTTTCTGAGGTCATAGCGAGTCAGGCGAGAACTGGGAGTCAAATCTAGGTGTCTCCACAGTTGTGATTCCGAGTGACCCATGCTCTTGTGGATCCACACTTGTCTTAAACACGTTCGGAAGGCCGAACTCAAAGTTCCAGAAGGGCGAATAACTGGTTCTCAATCACGTCTTGTTCGATTGCTTTAAGGCGATGGTACTTGGCGACTCATATGTCCTTCTCCGGCATCCTTAAGGGCGCGCTCCGGGTGATAAAGCGACGCCCGTCCCTCGCAATCTCGGGAAGTGTAGTTTCCCCGTGCTCTGGACACTAGGGTGTGGGAGGTGTGGCACTGCGTTTCCCAAAAGGCTGCGCTTCCCGTGACGTAGGCCAGGCGACGGCCCGGGAAGTGGTGGGTGGGGAAGTCCTCGTCTGGGCTTCATAAATTCTCAAAAGGAATAAGTGATAGTGGACACAGACTTCCGGCAGCACGGTGTGTGGGCTTCTTGGTTAGGCAAAGCTGGGCGCGGAAGCCGGAGCGCTGTCAGAACAACCTTGCTTCCGGTCGGGTGTGTGTGTGTGTAGAACGCTATGGCGCTTCTCCTTTAACTGCGGTGGGCGGGGCGCTGCGACGCTTCCTGCGTTGCTATTGGTGGCGGTTGGGGGCGCGGAAACCGAACCCGAGCAACTGCCGCGGCAGCTACTCCAGAAGTCTCGGGCGCCCGCCATGGCCGCGCTCTGCCGGGTAAGTCCCTGCAAGGGCGGCCGCCAGGACCCCTGTCTCCCCTCTGGAACGTTGGGCGTCTGGCAGGCCGGAGCAGTGACTTCAAGAGAACTAGGAAGTCCTCGCCATGCAGGTTGCCTTAGGTTGCCTTCTGTGTGACTGGCTGGGTCTGGGCGTTAAAGAAGCGCTCCTCGGAGTACTGACGCAAATCAAGTTCCTGCCGCCAGGCTTTACATTTTAGCAAGACACGAGTTCAGCAGCTCTCAGGCAGGTCGACCTTTCTGGCCTGTCTCCGCATCCTGAGCAGCGGGTAGCTAGATGGGGGCTTGTTGAGCCACGCCCTCTTCTGAGAGATGGGATCCGGGCTGGGAGAAGCCTGGGAGAAGCCTGGGAGGGCCCAGGCCGCACTGCCGTGCGACCTGAACCTGGACTCCTGATTCCCAGGTTCCAGCAGATGCCAAGAGGAACACGCAGTAGAATCCTTTGGAGAGGTTGCTGCCCACGGGCCTGAATCTTGCAGGGTCGTGGTCTGCTGCTCCCTGAGGCGTCTAAGGACTTGGGCAGAGGGCCTGGACTAGAACCCCGACGTTTTAACATAACAGTCTGGGGACTGGGGATTTAGCGCAGTGGCATAAGCACTTGCCTTGCAAGCAGGCGGTCGTGAGTTCAGTCCTTGATACCGATAAAAATGAAAAAGACAAAAAAAAAAAAAAAAACAAACATACAATCTGGTGCTTTCCTTCCCACTTCCATCTTCATTGAAGCCCACATGTTGGGAACCAACTGCATGTCGGGAAATTTCTAGGGGTCTGCAGTTCAGGAGTGGATCAGAATTTGTTTCTGCTCTCTGAGCCAAAGGGTGGACACTGTTTGAACCTTGTTTTTCCAAAAGGCTCAGATAAAAACCAGAGGATAAATAAGCTGCTTGCTGCTGGGCTGGAGCTCCTCCCACCACCTGCCACTCCCCTTACTGGAAGAAACACTCAGCTGATGGTTGGGGGTGGAGCTGAACACAGGGTTAGGTCACAGCACTATGGGGTGGCAGTGGCTTGCTCTGACCCAAGAACACCCTTCCCTATGACTCTCTTTGGGCTCTCTGGAGCACCTAGAAAGTTTCTTTGAGGTTTCTTACCTTCTAGGAGGAGGGGTTACATTGTATTCGGATGGATGGGATGTAATCCTTCAAATGCCAAGACACAAGCTGCTTGTTGTAGTCTTCCTAAGCACTGGCCTGGATAGCCACTGTTCTGGTACTGTTCTGATGTTGGGTAGAGTGGAGATGATGATGATGGCACTGGGGAGCTGGCTAGGACAGAAGGTTCACTAGTCGTAAGGAAGGATTAAGGGTGCAAAGTCCCATTACTGCAGTGAAACTGAAAAGCCCCTATTTTTCATTTTTTTTTTTTTTTTTTCTTTTTTGGGTTTTTATCGGTACCAGGGATCGAACTCACGACCGACTGCTTGCAAGGCAGGCACTTATGCCGCTGAGCTAAATCCCTAGCCCCCAAAAGCCCCTATTTTTTCTGTTTGGGTTTTTTAGTAAAGAATTTTATTAAGATATTCTTGTTTTTCAGGGTTTTGCTATATAATTTAATTCAGGCTGACCTTGGGCTCAATTTGTAGCTGAGGCTGGTCTTGAACTTGCAACGATCCTCCTACCTCAGCCTCTTGAGTCCTGAGATAACAGGAGTGCATCACCTCGCCCTGTTTACTGAGCTATTCAGTACAATGAATTTCACCTTTATTTGTTTGTGACAGGGTGTCCTTATGTCATTCAGGCTGGCCTTGAACTGTTGCTGACCTTCTTGCCTCAGCCTCCCAAGTGCTAGGATCACAAAAGTGTGCACCACCATGCTTGGCAAATTTACCTTTTAAAGTATACAGTTCAGTATTTAATGCATTAGTGGTATTGTACAACCATCATCACTCTAATTTCAGAATATTTTCGTCATGCTAGTAAGAATCCTCATACCTAATAACAGTCATTCTTTTCTTTCCACTTCCTGTCTTTTTAGCTTCTGACAACTACTCACCTATTTTCTGTCTCAACAGATTCAACTGGTTTGGACTTTCAGAATAGTAGACAGGCTTTCACTTGTGTTTTCAAGCCTTATCTTATTGTAGCATATATTAGCACTTCACTCTTTTTCATTGCTGAATGATCTTTTGTTGTATGGTTGTATCACATTTGGTTTATCCATCTGTTGCTGGACACAAATTTATTCACTTTGCCTGGTATGAACACTACTTCTGCGAACATTTGTGTACAAGTTGTTGTGTGAATGTGTTTCCAGTTCTTTTGGTTACTTACCTAGAATTGGTGGGCCATTCATTAACTCATTTTGAGGAACTACAGAGCTGTTTAACAGGGGCTATTTTGTCAGTGGTTCTCTTTAACGACTTCAGAACCTCTTATAGTGGTGCAGGTCTGTAATCCAGCTCTCTGCTGAAGCGGAGGCAAGAGCATTATCAAGTTTAAAGCCAGCCTGGGCTATTTGTTGAGTGCAAGGCCAGTTTGAACTACACAGCAAGATCCTGTTTCTAAAAGCAAATGAAAAAATGGGCCAGAAGAAAGGTTAAAAACACCTCCTCTCCTATTTTTTTTTTGTTTGTTTGTTTTTGGAGACAGAATCTAACTGTGTAGCCTAGACTGGCCTTGAACTCACAGCAGTACTCCTGCTTCAGCCTCCTGAGTGCTGAGATTCAGGTGTGTGCCACCACACCTGGCAAGTTTTCATATTGATTTCACGATCAGCTTCTCAGTTTCTACAGAAATGCACCATGACATTTTGATAGGAATTATGTTGAATCTGTGATCCGGCCTGCGGATCAATACGTGGGGTGTACCTGGAGGCGGAACGGGGATTAAATAAAGACAGGGGAGACAAAGAGAGATGGAAGCAAGTTGAGAGAATCCGATCAAGCCCCCTGTTTATTCCGGAAGTGATTACATCTTTTATAGGCCAAGGGCTGGAGGTGAGACAGGAAGAGGCTATAGGGATGAATACAACAGGGTCATCATCACATCCGGGTATGTGAGTAAGCACGAGAGGATTATGGTTAATGTAGGCAGACGTAGTGCCCATAGGAAAGAGAGAGGCAGGGAGGCAGCAATGGGCCTGTTGCTCAGCTCCCTACAAATCTGTATGGATTTTGAAGAGCATTGCATCTTAATAAGGTTATCTTCTAATTAATAGCGTGATTTATTTTCCCATTTTTAAAGTATTTAGTTTCTTACAGTGATGTTTAGTAGTTTTGTTATATGTCTTGCACTTGTTAACTATTCCTATTTTATTTTTTATTTATTATAAGTGGAGTTGTTTCCTTTATTTTTTTAAGTTGTTCATTGTGAGTATATAGAAATACAATTAGCTTCTTTGTGCATTGATTTTTAAATTTTTATTTTAGTAAATGTTTGCAATACATAATGATTATATTCTCTGTGATTAGTTGGTACATGTCAGGCAAGCACTTTTGCCACTGAGCTAAATCCCCAGCCCTCTGTTTTCATTTTTTTCTCTTTTTTGACTTTTTTTTCTCCATCCTCATTTTCTCTTCTCCTTCTCCCTCCCTCTGTTTCATTTCCCCTATCCATTAGGAAATGATCTCCCTATTTTCTATTTATTGTTCATTTTATACACTTTCTATCTTCTTCTAATATGTATGTGTGTATGTGCACATATATATGTTTTTTAGTTTCTCTTATAAGAGAAACCATGTGATATTTAAGCCTGAGTATCTGATTTAGTTCACTTTAACATTATGGTCTTTAACATTATGCACCCATTTATCTGCAAATGCCTCAAGTTTACCTTTATGGCAGAGTGGTACTCCATTGGATATGAGTCACATTTTCTTTTGTACTGATTTTGTAGTCTACTCCCTTGTTGAACTAACTCATCAATTGCATAGTTCTGGTAGCTTTTAGGGCATTCCTTAGAATTTTCTGCATATGAAAATCATGCTGTGAGCATTTTTAAATCCTGCTGGCTGTTGTGGGAAGTCTTGGCCCTGGGGCAGCACTTTCCTCACCCAGGTTCACCCATTTGACCCTGACTGTCTTGCAGGAGGACCCTTCACTCGAGAGGCATTTTAAGGGTCACCGTGATGCCGTCACGTGTGTGGACTTCAGTCTCAATACAAAGCAGCTGGGTAAGAGAAGGTACTAGGTCAAGCCCTAAGAAGCAAGATATGGCATGGGGGAGCAGAGCATGGTGAGGATGTGTCCTGATTCTCCCTGCCAACTCTTGGGCTGGGCTTCATGACCTCCATTTAACATGGAGAAAGTATGAGGTTCAGAGAGATTGGCAAAAAAACAAAAAACCAAAAAAGTGCAGGCAGAGAGGCTGGCGACCTTGCTGAGCTTACACAGTCTTTGAGAGTGAGTCTGGGTGGAGCCTTTCCCTGCACGCATGTCAGCCACCTCTCAGTGCCGTCTGGTGGCACAGGCTATAAACAGCAGCTCCTCTTCATTGAGTGTTGACTTCCATTGCTGACAGCATCATGGTGCCTCATTATACAGGGTTACTAGTTGGTCCATTTGCTGCATCTAGACGCCCCTTCCTCGGTCGCATGCAGATTCATACGCAGCTTGCCTAGCCATCACTTTCTTGCTCCATAGATTCACTGCACCTATTCATACTACTGTCAAGATCTCCTTGAGGCATCGGGCAAAGAGGGAACTGAAGTCATTTCTGCTTTTGTGGGGGTACCCTTTAGTCTTCTTGAATTGTGCCCTCCCACTGGTGAAAGGCTGTCTGGGCTGGGCTGGTTCCTATGCTGGGAAGACTTGCTCCTGGGCCCTCAGGGTATGTCTGTGAAGTGACCTGTGGCTCCTCAGGGATGAGTCCTTCCAGAGCCCTGCACGCTGCTCAGGGCTGCATGTAATCTCTGTTAGTCTGCTGCCTGGAGAATTGCCAGGCCCTAGGCACTGCAGACTTCCAGTCAGTAGTCACTGAGGTGTGGACTGTGACCCTGTGGGGACCTGCTCTGGGAGTGCCTAGGAGTACAGAGATGGGCACAATGCTCCTCTTGCCTCCACAGTATCCTTGGGGAGGCCTGAGGCCTGCTAGAGACAAAGATCCTAGCATGTCACCCATTCTCCCTAGCCAGTGGTTCCATGGATTCCTGCCTCATGATCTGGCACATGAAGCCCCAGGCGCGTGCCTACCGCTTCACGGGCCACAAGGATGCTGTCACCTGTGTGAACTTCTCCCCCTCAGGACATTTGCTTGCCTCAGGCTCCCGTGACAAGACTGTCCGAATCTGGGTACCCAACGTGTGAGTTACAGTCTTCGAAGGGCTTGACAGAGTCTGGGACCCTGGTACCAAAGCTGCCCCCAACCCATATCCTGGGTCTAGGCTGGCCATTATGGTGCACCTGTACCACTCAGGACTGCTGCCTCCTGCTGTTCACATGTGGGTGGGAGTAGAAGGAGCAGGACTCTGCTCTCATGAGGGAGGGTGTGGTCTCCTTTCTTGGGAACTGGGGTGTTCAGCCCTGGCTGACTTTGGGAGGGCTGTCTGAAGTATGCGGAGGGGTTTGATGAGCTTGCAAGCCCTTACATCACTATTACAGCTTTCCTAACTCTGACTCTGACTCTCTGTCCTCATAGCAAGGGTGAGTCAACCATGTTTCGTGCACACACAGCCACGGTGAGAAGTGTCCACTTTTCCAGTGATGGCCAGTCCCTTGTGACAGCCTCTGATGACAAGACAATCAAGGTGTGGTCGACACATCGCCAGAGATTCCTGTTCTCGTTGAGCCAGCACATCAACTGGGTCCGCTGTGCCAGGTGGGCATTGTCTTTGCTGGAAACACTTGGAGGGCTTTGGGGTTCAGCAGGGCACAGAGGGCTGTTAGGTGCCAGCTTGTGACTTTGGTTGGGTTATTTAGTCACTCTTTAATCCTCCTGAGCCTTGGCTTCTTTATTTTGAAAATGGCAACAGTAATAGTTCCCGTATTAGATTTGTTGAAAAGTCTCACTGAGCTTTAATTAATCTCTCTCAGACCATGATGACCCTCTGACGTCCATGCTGGGGGAGCCCCACCCAGGCAACAGGAGCCACTTCTTTAGTTGCAGTGTCAGTAGTAAGCACTGTCGGTGCTACTGATGTAGTGTTTCTTTTGGTCCCTCATGAGAGTTCTGCCAGCCAGGTGGTATCATTTCCATTCTGCAGATGAAAAACTGAAGCTTAGAACAGTGTAGTGTCTCATCCCAGACTTGGTAGATAGTGGCAGAGCTGTGCTCTGAACCCGGTTCTGGTCCTGAGGCTGATCTGCTTTCCTGTGAGGTGCTCTCTGCCTCAGACTTTGATTTTGCTCGAAAGCTGCCAGTTGAGTTCCCTTTGTTAAGGGAGCTGTGCCTGGGGGAGCCAGGAGGGCTTTTCATGATCCAAGTATTGGCAGGTGCTGATATGCTTACTTCTAGTATAATTTTTTTTAAAGAGCTTTCTTCTGTCAAATCTCTGCTCTGGAGGATGGGTTAGAGGTGGCTAAGAAAAGACTGGGAAACTCTAGGAATAGGACGTAGGGACTGTTGAACTTTCTTCTTTTGGGGACTCTTGCAAGTACTTGATCCCTTGGGCAATGGCATTCCTCTGTCCTGGGAGGCTTCTGACTGCTCTGGTCAGGGTTCTGAGAACGTGAGGTTCTGGGTCAGCAAGTAGGTGTTATGCCACAGCAGGTCTTGGGGTGGTTGATGATCCCCAGATCCTCCATGCCTTTTCACGTGCAGTTGTATTTTGCTGACCCAGAGTACTGGGAGCAGGGTCACTATCCTGCTGTGGGGTGCTGGCCACCTGCACACTAGGAGAGGCAGCAGGCAAGCCAGGTATTGTCACCTGCCTTGTGGCTGTGGGGTTATTTTGTGCATTCTGCCACTCCATGCTGACTGTGGAGAAGGCACTGACCCTCTCCGTCTCACAGAGAGGGTCACTGTCTGCCCTCTCAAGGTGCCGCTCAGGGATCAGGACTGGGCAGGTTACCCCAGGCACTTCCTGGTCAGTTAGTAGGTGTGCAGGGAACAGTGGCCGTGGAAAGCTGCTCATCTGTTTCTGGCTCAGGTTCTCCCCTGATGGGCGGCTCATCGTGTCTGCCAGTGATGATAAGACTGTCAAGCTGTGGGACAAGACCAGTCGGGAGTGTGTCCACTCATACTGTGAGCATGGCGGGTAAGTCTCTGACGCTGTCCTTCACTGTGGGTGCTGCGACAATGAACTCCAACCTGACACAAGGAGGCCAGCGACCTTCAGATGCTGACCCATGAGGTGGCAGCCATGCCTCTGCTGCTCCTCAGCTAATGCCTTCTGTGTAGGCCCTGCGTCTTTTCTCTTGTGTGCAGAAGAGTTAGCCCATCCCCATCCCATGGATAACTTAACCTGGATCTCTCTTTTCTGCTCTTACTTTCTGGTTCTTAGAATGACAGCTTGTCAGTGAGCAGTTGAACTCAGACCCTAAATTGCATTTTAAAGCTTCGTAGTACCTATGGCCATGGCTTTATGAATGGAAGCCTCATCAGATGGTGGCCATTTATATTATGCCCTGTCATTGAGAAAGGGAGGAGCCTGCATTTGAGGACAGACTCCACCTCAGGTGATCCCAGGTTCTTCCTTTCTTGGGCAGGGAACCACAGACGAGGTCTCCTTCAGCAGAGCCTGAAACCATGTTTGGGTATACTGAGGGCAAGAGGCCTGTCTTTTAGAGATGGGATCCAGTGGCCCCATAGTCCTGCTGGACCTTCCTACCTGTCTCTCATATGGCAAAACGTGCCCTGGAATCAGCTCTAGCAAGAGTACCAGCTCCATTTCTGGAGCCCAAGGTAGCCCAGATGAGCATTAGGTCTGAGGACAGCCATCTCCACTTGGATTTAAAAATTGATGGGCTAGGCACAGTGGTATAGACCTATAATCCCAGCTGCTTTGGAAGCTGAGGCAAGATTGCAATTTGGAGGCCAGCCTGGGCAACTAAGAACCTGTCCAAAAATAAAAAATAGAAAGGAATGGGGATGGAGATATATATATATATATATATATATTTCAGTGGTACAGTGTTCCTGGTTTTGACTCTTAGTACTACCCCCCCCCCACCAAAAAAAAAACAAAGTGGGACTTGGACCCTGGTAAGTCTGCTTTAGTTCACTGCTGCACTGCTGGCCACTGTTTTCACCTACTGCATTTTGCTCTCTTGTGGCCACCTGCTAAAGTAACATGGCAGAAAAGCAGTGTTTCGGTTTGAGGGAATAGCATGAGCAGATACAGAGGGATGGGAAAGTAATAGACACTTCTGGGTCTGCCCTGATCAGAGCAGGCCTGTGGTACATGGTATCCTTGTCTTACAGCTTTGTTACCTATGTGGATTTCCACCCCAGTGGTACGTGCGTTGCTGCTGCTGGCATGGACAACACCGTGAAGGTGTGGGATGTACGAACTCATCGGCTGTTGCAGCATTACCAGTGTGAGTACTGGACAGCCTTCTAGGCCCGGGGGCAGCCATGGTTGGGCTGTGTTGGTCCTGACTACTTGGTTCATTGCTACGGTGTCTCAGGAGCATGGCGGTGATAGGGCAGTCTTGGTCTTTGGAATATAGCCATGGGTGAATAGACTGTGATGTGGCTGTTCTGACTTGGAGCACTGACTGGGAGAGGAGTGTGCTACTTCCTGGCTCTTCCATGAAGCCCTTTGGTGCCACCTATGAGATGATGGAGTCTCACAAATACTGCGGCTGAGGATCCTCAGTAGATGTCTGGCTGGGCTCTCTTTGAGAGCCAGTTCTCAGTGTCTGCCAGTGCTGCTTAGCTCTCCTTGTCATGGAGAGTCTGCCCTTTAGGACCATGGCGGCAGAGATATCCATAGAGGTCAGTGTTGATGGGACCTTGGTCACTTCTAATCTCATGTAGTTCTCCATGGGTGTACAGCCATGAGCCATGTGGGAGGTAGATTGAGCTAAGGACTAGGCTTGGGAGCCAGGCCCAGGACTGTGCCCCTGATTTAAGTGTAGCCTTTGGAAACATTGGTGGGGGATGGCTGACATAGGTGCAGGACTCGTTTTTTTGTTTTTGTTTTTGTGTTTTGTTTTGTCTTTTTGAGGTAGGGTTTCCACTAAATAGTCTTGATTCACTTTGTAGGCCAGGCTGGCCTCCAACTCCTGGTGATTTTTTTTTTTTTTTTTTGGTTCTGGGGATCAAACTCACGACTGCCTGCTTGCAAGGCAGGTGCTTATGCCTCTGAGCTAAATCCCGACCCCCTACTGGTGATCTTCTTGCCTCATCCTCCCAAGTGCTGGGATTACAGACATGCACCACCACTCCTGACATAGTTTTTTGGTTTTTTTTTTTTTTTTTTTGAGATAGTGTCTTGCTGTGTCGTGCAGGCTGGCTTCAAACTTCCTTATGTAGCCCAGGCCAGCCTCGAACTCATGGCAGTCCTCCTGCGCAGCCTCCTGAGTACTGGGATTATGGCATGTGCCACCACACTGGGCAGGGCTCAGGTTTCAGAGCTACCCCTAGCACCCTCATGAGCACTTTTTGACTATCTCAGGTGCTTGAAGACAACACTTTCTTGGGATAGCTGAGGTGCGCCAGCCTCCCAAGAAGCAGAAGATCCTGGCCTGCAGCAACAGTGGAGGGTAGAATCTAGGTCACTTCTGTGTTCTTGCCTTCATGATATTGGGCAGGTCACTTAACTCTCTAGAGCTCCTGGTACAATGATAGGTCCTGTCTCACAGGTGGTGTTGGAGGATTTATGAGTTGGTTTGTGTCCAGAATTGTGATCAGCTGGGCATGGCATTGCACACCTAGAGTCTCAGTATTCTAGAAGGCTGATGCAGAAAGATTGTGAGTTTGAACCCAGCCTGGGCAATTTAACAAAACCCTATCTCAAAACATTTTATTTTATTTTATTTTATTTTATTTTATTTATTTATTTTTTTCTTTTTGAGACAAGATCTCGCTATGCAGTTCAGGCTGGCCTTGAGCTCACTTTGTAGCCCACGCTGGTCTTGAACTTGAAACGATCCTCCTGCCTCAGTCTCCCGAGTGCTGGGATTACAGGCGTGAGCCACCACGCCCGGCTCTCATTTTACTTTATTTTTTGACACAAGGTCTTGCTATGTAGCTCAGGCTGGCCTTGAACTCACTGTTTAGCCTAGGCCGACCTTGAACTCACAGTGGTCTGTGCCTTCTGAGTGCTGGGATTACAGGCAAGTGCCATCATTTATAAAAGGCTTAACACATTTATAAAAGGGCTGGAGATGTATCCTAGTACGAAGTCCGTGGGATTGATTTGATTTTCAATACTACCTGAAAAACAAAACAAAACCATGAGTAAATGCAGTACGAAATTAGAATAAGGGATGATGGTGATGGCGAAGTCTTCCTTGCTCCTAGTATCCTGCCTGGTTTGCTGAGGGCCGCCAGGTTGGTCAAGGTCTGCAGTACCCTCCACCACCACCAGGTGTCAGGGCCCAGCTGTAAGAACCATGTCTGTCTTATGCAGTGGCTCTGGTGCGTGTCACTGATGCTGATGTTTTCAGTTTTCTAGACTAGAACAGTGGCAAGGTCTACTCTCTACTCGGAGAGGTCTGTCCCTCCCCACCTCCAAGTCTTGGGGCCTCTCTTCTGCTGTAGACAAGTCCTGAGTTAAGGGCCAGGGTTGGGCAGGTACAGAACAGGGAGGCCCGGGTAGGAAGATGCTGTGGGGAGGTGGTGAGGTGGTACAGCAGTCAGAGTGCGGGCTATTTCCTTTCTGTAAAGGGGCCAGGGCTGGGTGTGTGCCTTGTAACGTATGAGTCTTGGTAGAGAGGAGAGGTTCTCTAGGTGATCCCAGGAGAGTCCAGGCCCAAATCTGATGCATCAGGAGCTTGGGCTTGATGTTTACAGGGCACAGTAGCAGGTACTCAACTGGGGAGAGCCTTGAATGTCCTCTGTGGCCCAAAGTCTCAAAGACAAAGCTGGACTGGCAGTGCCGAGGATGGCCAGTCATTCTGGAGTGAAGGGATGAGGGTTATTTGAGAAAAGAGCAAGTGGTCTACTTGACAGGAGGCTGGAATACCCAGTTGGTGGCTGTCCCTGGCCAGTGACAAGGCAAGGGCCTGCATCCGTGGGGAGTGGTCCGGCCTAGGGCCTAGCCTATGGAGACTGGGTAGAGGCAGGCAGAAGCTAACCCTGTGGGGAAGGAGGGCCTGGCTGGGGCCTGGGATTTGGCACATGAAAAGGGCTGAGGCCATACCCTGGGCCCTATCAGTGAGGGGCCACTGAAGAAGTAGCTCCGAAAAGCTGAGTGAGGGGTCTGAGCCCTGTCTCCAGCATGAGAGGGCTGCAGAGGGTGGAGCCAGGGGAGGAAGGAGGAGGTAGTCAGGAGGGAGAGTAGATAAGGAGGATGGGGAGTGCTGAGGAGCTTGGGGATGGCAGGGCTGCAGAGGTCGGTGGGCTCAGATGGGCTCCAGGGCTAAGTGCTGAGTGGGCTCAGGCACACATGGCTGACAGTCACCTGACAGCTGTCAGTCTGCTTTTGCTGCTGTTTTTACCTCATGGGGTGAAGCTCCTCAGTGAGGCTATAGCATCTTGTTTCTCAGCCACCCCAGGAAGGTCGGAGCCTTGGAGCGGCTTGACCCTGTAACCCAGCTGGAGTCCCCAGAGTTCCTTGTGCAATGTAGAGGTACCCAGTGGGTACTCACAGGAGAGTAAATGCATATCCCAACCTGGAGGCTCATCCTTCAGGGGCTCAGTGAGCCAGGTGGGTCAGGACTCATCACTTCTCACTTCTTTTGCTGATGGAGGGACCTGGCCAAGTCTAGTGGTTTCCTGGAGAGCTCCTCAGCTGAAACCCACTACCAAGGGGGCTCCTGACCCCACAGGTTGAGTGGGGTCTTTTTGGTGGCTGATCTCCAGGAAGAATTCTCAACATTGTGATCATAGATGTCTGACTTCTTTTCTGTCCCTGATTCCTTGAAACCCTGAAGACAGATTTTAAGGACACAGTGATGCCCAGTGTCTTTCCTATTGACTGAATGAGCACTAGGTACTTACTAAATGGCTAGTGGGCTTTTTTTTTTTTTTTTCTTCTTTTGAGAGAATCTTGCTCTGTAGTTCAGATTGGCCTTGAACTTGCTATGTAGCCCAGGCTGACCTCAAACTCACAGTGATCTTCCTGCCTCAGCCTCCCGAATACTGTGATTATAGGTGTGCACCACTACACTTAGTATGAGAATTTGTTTAACTGTATTCTATTGTGTGTCCGGCTATCCAGTGGTCATGCTCTGTGGAGGTCACTTCCTGTCCTGGGTTGAAGTTAAAGCCTGCTTGGGGCTTTGGGCTATAGCAGATAGCTAACACTGTTTCAGTCTGGCCAATTCTCTTCCAAGGCAAGGAGTTTGTTGGCTCTGGCCTGTCGTTGTAGGAAAGCAGTTCTGGTTTCCCAATGCAGTAAGTTGACAGGCTGGTGGATTCCTGGGAGTGCCAATAGTCCTGCTCCATATGCTTTGAGCCCACAGTAAGACTGTTCAGACATCTGAGTAGCAGCCCCCGTCCTCGCTCCCACAGTGTGCTTGTGGTTTATAGGCACGTGCAGGTCCATGATCTTTTGACAAGACTGCATGGCCAGCAAGGCAGGTCTTGGAAGCATGAGGCTTGCCCATGTCAGTAGCCAGGAGGTCGGGAATCTGGATCTCCAGGCTCCCAGTCTGGCATTCTGCCCACCATTCCTGTGTAAGATTCTTTGCACTGTGATGACTCTACTGTTTTATTCCTGGGTTCCTGGGATGGGCAGTCTCCTTGGCTAGCTGAGGGAGACTTGGCCTGATTTTCTCCCGAAGGTTGAATTGTGTCCCAGGTTCTCTGGCCACTGGTCAGTACCTCCGTCCTACTCAATGCATGGTCTTGGAGGGTTTTAGTTTTTTCATTTTTTAAAATGTATTGCTGGGGGCTCCGAGATTTATCTCAGTGGTGTAAGCACCTGCCTGGTAAGCGCAGTGTCATGAGTTCAATCCCTGTTACCAAAAAAGAAAAAAGAAAACAAAAAACAAAAAATGTAGTTCTGGGAATTGAACCCAGGGCTTCATACATGCTAAGTGCATGCTTTCCCACTGAGCCAGCTAACAGGTCAAGCATGCCCCCTTTATTGGTACTTTGGGATGCAAAGTATTGATTAGACACAGTGTGCCATCACACCTGATCTGGGCGACTTACTTGGCTTGCCATCTCAAAGTGGGCATTTATGTGGTATTTGTAAAGCGGAATGTTTGTAGCATCCTTCACTGCTAGTATCAGAGCACTTTCTGGTATGAATCCAAAGCCCTTTGGGGAATCCAGAGCCACTGTGTCATAGGTAGCACCAGTTACACACAAGGAACTACCTTAGTGCTTGAAAGTGAGCTGATTGCTTATGGCAGATGTGGAGATTCAGCTTGGCTCTGCCATCGTCTGCTCCAGAAAGGTCCCTTCTACTTGGACACTCAGGCTTTCTCTGGGACCTATGACCACTTTGGAGCCAGCTCATCTGGCCAGGTTTGCTGAAGGCCTCCTCATGCTGAGCAGTGTGGGCAGGATAAATTGTGGATACTCAGATCTTTCCTTAGGTTCTGGCTCCCCCCACACTGGCAGTTCCTGGTGTGTGTGGGCAGAGAGGGCTGTGGTGACCTTGCCCCACCTTCACTGGGCTCCTGGTGAGCTATGGAAACTTGGCATTGGTGTGTCCCTGATCTTGAGTTGGACGGAGTTCCCTCTTTGGGGGTAGGGAGATAATAGCTGTCTCCCAAATGACAGTTAGTGTTATTGCTGCCACAGAACCAAGAAGAGGACCCACAGTTTCAGATTGATGAAAAGTAGATTGTTCTTAGGTGTTTTCTGCTGAAGGAATTGTGACAACAGTATCATATCCTGTGGGACAGTTGAACCCTTGAATGGGAGTGTTCTGCAGAGGCTAGTTCCTAAGATGAGACGTCCCTAGATTGGTCCCTCTCCATATCTTTCCAGAGGCAGAGAGGTGTGAGAATGGAGACTAGGGTGACCAAGTGTGTGAGCAAGGGGGCATCCCCAAAAGCCTAGCATGTCAGGCTGAGCCCTTTTGGAATAAGTGGCTCCAGGTGTTTGGTATTCCCAGCATTTATGCTAGAATGGTTTTTTGTTTTGTTTTGTTTTTTGGTACTGGGGATTGAACTAATAACTGTGGGCTTGCAAAGCAGGCGCTTATGCCACTGAGCTAAATCCCCAGCCCAGAATGGAGTTTTTGTTGCCTTTCTCCTAAGGGAGAGTGTCCGGGTAGGTTGGACCAATAGAGTAGTATGTACACACTGACTGCAATTTTGGTGCTGGCCAGCGCTGGGCTGTCTGAGTGCGTCCTCCCCTGGCCCCTTCCCCACCCTCCTATAACTGATTGCTCTTCTGCAAGCTTTATGTTAAGTGGGGCAGGAGTGGTCTTCCTCCTGGTGCAGGTTGTAGGGTCTGTGTATAGTGGCTATAGAGACCCTCAGCTCCTCTCCAGGAAGCCTCATGGAATTCCTGGCACTTGCAGGATGTTATTCAGATATAAATATCTAGTTATGTAAAGCCTTGGCTGTCTCCCCTAAATATGGTTGGGAACATGTCTTCATTCTCCCCAGCACATCAGCATGCCAGCCAGACTGGCATCTGAGCGGCTCTGCTGTTGGCTGTTCGTGGTGGGTGTGTTTGCTGGCCCAGCAGTGGTTCCTGCAGCTTTCGGTACTAGGATGAGGGCTTGCTTTTCAAACTTGCCTTCGTGTTTGTGGCAGTGTGAACTTGGGAGGGTCGTGGTTACCTGAGCCTCACTGGTTTCCCTCAGCTGCCCTGGGGCAGTGGGTGTGGAAGCACTGGGGCTTCCTCAGTACGGGCTTTTTTTTTTTTTTTTGGTGTCTTTTTTTGAGACGGAGTCTATGCAGTTCAGGCTGGCCTTAAGCTCACTTTGTAGCCCAGGCTGGTCTCAAACTCTCAACGATCCTCTCACCTTAGCCACCCCAGTGCTGAGATTACAGGTGTGAGCCACGCCCGGCTTCAGTAGCAGCTTTTGAGAGGTAGTGATAAGCAGGTCCGGGCTTTGCTCTGGCCATATGACCTGCTTGGATCTACAGCTGGTTCCGCCAGCTCTACCCTGAGCCCACCTTTGGGCTGGAAGAATGGCTCTGTATCTCTCTCAGGTCAGCAGAGCCCCTCACATGCCTCGGACCTTATTTTAGGAGCCATCCCTGCACAATACTCCCACTCAAGGGTTCAACTGTCGCACAGGGTGACACTGTTGTCACAGTGCCTTGAACAGAGAATACCTAAGAACTTTCCATCAAGTCTGACACTGTGGGTCCTCTTCTTGGTTCTGTGGCAGTGATAACACTGTCATTTGGGAGGCAGCTATTATCTTCCCACCCCAAAGAAGGAACTTGTGTCCAACTTGGGATCAGGGACACACCAATGGCAAGTTTCTGCAGGACACGAGGAGCCTGGGGAGAGTGATGCAAGGTTGCTGCAGTGCATCTTGCTCAGTGTGCCTGACTTGCTGCATGTGTTCCTTCCTCCTGTCTTCCACTACCCACACTTGGCTCCAGCTGAGTCTTTTCTCGTCCCTTGGCTGTTTGCCACTTTCCTGGAAAACCCGTGGTGGTGGTGGTGGTGGTGGTGGTGGTGGTGGTGGTGACGACCCAGAGCTCTTCCAGGCAGTAGCCATCCTGGCCCAGCCTTGTTGGCCGTGCTGACCCCACTTGGCTGTCTCAGGCACCAGCTGTGCTCTCCAGGCCTCCCGCCAGCCCCCAGCCAATGTCTTTCTCCAGTGCACAGCGCAGCAGTGAACGCCCTGTCTTTCCATCCATCGGGAAAATACCTGATCACAGCCTCCAGTGACTCCACCTTGAAGATCCTGGACCTGATGGAGGGCCGACTGCTCTACACGCTCCATGGGCATCAGGTGAGGGGGCCATCACCCGCGGCTGAGACGTATGGCGTGGGCCTAGGCCCAGGCTCTCTTTTCTTAGTACATAATGAATGCATTCTTAGCAGAGAATGGCTGTATACACACACTGTACCTTTTCACATCCCCTTCCCCTTCTCCCTCCCCACTCCTCTATCCCTAAATCCTCTTCTCATCTGCAAGAAGTGTACCTCCCGGTTTCCAATGGTCTATCTTTTATTTTGTTCTTTAAATTATTTATATTTTGAGTTCTTCATATAAGAGATACAATATAATATTTAACTTGTGTCTAATTTATTTCGCTTAGCATTATGGTCTCATGGTGTATCCTACAGATGACTTAAATCCTTATGACTGAGTAGTACTCCATTATGTTTTAGGTTTTTTTGATGTGTGTGTGTGCACCGGGAATCAAACTTAGGACCTTGCACTTGCCAGGTAGGCATGGTACCACTGAGCTATGTCCCTGGCACAGTACTCCATTATGTATATATTCCACATTTTCTTTATTTATTCATCTGCTGATGGACATATAGGCTGTTTCCAGGGTTTAGTGACTGTGAGTTGTGCTGCTGTAAACACAGATTTGCATGTATCACTGTAATATGGTGTCTTTAACTCTTTGGAGAAGACACCTAAAAGGTATAGCTGAGTCAAATGGAATATTTATTTTTAGTATTTTGAGATATCTCCATACTGTTTCCATGTTGGTCCACTAGTTTACATTCCTACCGACAATGTAGAAGGATTCCTTTATCCCCATGATCTCTCCAGCCTTTGGTTTTTGAGTTCCTGATGGTAGCCAGTCTTCTGGAGTAGTCAGTATTGTTTTGATCAGCATTTCTTTAATTATCAAAGATACTGCACTTTTTTTTATGTACTTATTGACCACTTATATTTCTAAGTGTCTATTCATTTCACTTGCTCACTTTTTGATTGGGTCTTTATTTGGGGGAGATTCTAACTTTTTTCATTTTTTTATATATTCTAGTTTTAGTCCTTTGTCTGAGAGGGAGCTGGCAAAATTTTTTTCCCGCTTTGTAGGTTGTGTCTTCACTGGGTTGCTTGTTTCTTTTGTTATACAAAAAACTTTTAAGTTGATATAATCTCATTTGTTGCTTGTTAGTGTTATTTCTTGTGCGGTTGGGGTTCTGTTCAGAAGGTCCTTGCCTATGCCTATATCTTCAAGAGTTTTACCTACTTTTATCTTCCAACAGAGTCAGTGTTTCTGTTTTAATATCTATTGATTCACTTTGATTTTATTTTAGTACAAGGTGAGAGAAGAGTCTAGACGGATTCTCCTACGTGTAGATAACCAGTTTTCCCAGCATCACTTAAAGAGGCTGTATTTTGTCCAGCATATGTTTGTGGTCTCTTTGTCAAAAATCAGATGGCTGAATGTGCCTAGGTTTGTTTCTGCATCCTCTATTGTGTTTCACTGATCTGCATGTTTGTTTGTTTGTTTTGGTCAATACTTTGCTGTTTTTAATCACTGTAGCTTTGTGACGTAGCTTGAAGTCTGGGATTCTACTGCCTCCTGCTTTGCTCTTTTTTTTTTTTTTTTTTTTTTTTTTTTGGTACTGGGGATCGAACTTGGGACTGTGGGCTTGCAAGGCAGGTGATTATGCTGTTGAGCTAAATCCCTGGCCTCCTGCTTTGCTCTTGGTGCTCAGAATTGCTTTTGCTGTTCTGGGTCTTTTTTGGTCTCATGAATTTTACCATTGTTTTTTCTAATTCTGTAAAGAATACGGTTGGTATTTTGATTAGTGTTACACTCAATCTATGTATTAGTTATGGAAGTATGGCCTTTTTGACAGTACTGGTTTTGCCTCTCCAGGAACAGGTTATTCCATTTCTGATGTGCTCTTTAACTCTCTTTTTTTAGGCTATAGTTTATATTGTAGAGATCTTTCACTTTCTTGGTTAGGTTAATTCCCAAGTATTTAATTTTTAAAAACATGATTGTGAATGGAGTTGTTTTCTTAGTCTCTTGATGAGTTTACTGGTGTACAGGAATGGTGTTGAGTTTTGTGTATTGGTATCTTGGTACTTTGCTGAATTTATTTACTACTGGGAATCTCTTAGTGGAATTTTTGATCTTCAAAGTAAAGGATCGTGTCATCTGTAAATAATGATAATTGACTTCTTCCTTTCCTGTCTATCTCTTTTATTCCTTTCTCTTGCCTGATTGCTGGCTAAAGTTTCAAGTATGGTATTGAACAGGAATGGTTAGTGCACATTCTTGTCTTGTTCCTGATATTAGAGGGGAAGCTTTCTTTTTTTTTTTACTTTTTTTTTTTTATTTATTTAAGGAGAAAAGAAAAAAAAGTGAAAGGATACAAGTTATACAGATTTACAGAAGAAAAAAATGAACAGTAGGAAATCACTAGTTAATGGATTATATATTGCCATCTTAAAAATAATTGTTCAAGTCACAAAATTAAAGCTTGTAGAGTGGACATTCCAACAATGATACTGCAAACAGTTCTGTTCAATGATCCAATAAAACTCTGTGATATCATTTTCTATCTTATACACTTAAATATACATGCAGTTATATAGTTTAGAGCACTTTCTTTTCCTCTCTTTTGTACAATGACTATTACACATTTTGGGTTTCATTGCTCCCATGGTTCTTATTGCATTTTTGGAAGAGAGTAAAACCAAATGAGACATAACAGGACAGAATCGGTCAAGTCAAAAGGGTGGACATAATAGATAATATATAAACATAATACAAGGTGATCATCAGTGGTTACCATAATGCCTCCCGCTATCTCTAATAGAATTGCCTATATCATTAGTTATAATACAATTGAACAAAATAGTAAAGAACAAAACCGACAAAACCAAAACATTGGAGACATTGTAGGTCTTCAAAAGTAGATAAAAGTCAACGAGAATGGGCGTTATAATGAATCTCATTATCTTCTCAGCTGATGCCTAAACTTTCGAACCTGATACTATCCATCAAAACAGAATAGGGGAACATCAGTCAAAAACAAGATGGTGAGAGTAATACAGGGCTTCAAATCGAGATAATAGAAAGTCAAAGTGGGTTACTATATTATATCCTGCTATTTTTTTCCCTTTAATTAAACGGATAAAAATAAAAAAAGTAAATAATGAGAAAAAAGAGGACATAACAACAAAACAGCGCAGATCGAAACATAACCATTTAAGCAGAATAGTGTTTCACCACCAGATAATTCCGACTTAAAAGTAGTTACCATATTGACTCCCTCCCTGAAGTCCTTGAGTACAACTTCATATACTGTAGCATTAAGTATATCAAAACAATGTAAAACCATTTAAGAGAATGACAGCATTACAGAGTATTTAGAATCGACTAACAGAAAATGAACAATGGTTTCTGTATAATCTCCTTGTCTTTAAAAGGTTTTTGCTTATACTATCGTACATAATAAAATCCAATAAGATACAACCTGTTTAGACCATTGGAGACAGAAGAACAAAAGCTAGATGAGACTTCAAAACAAGATGATACTAAATCAGTATTACCTATTAAGATGTCATTTTCTCTAAAATAGCTGTTCTTATCATCCAATCTTCTCTGTCTCATTTCTGTTGAGCTCTTTTTCTGTCAGTAGCTGTCAGTTTGTCTTCTTCATTTTGTTCTCTGCTCCATTCGTTGTGGCCTCCCCGCCACTATTTCTGGGTTCTTTGTATTTTTCTTTTTTTAGAATATCCTGCAATACTTTCTGTAGAGTTGAATTGGTGGTTGCAAATTCCCCCAGTTCCTCTTTATCCTGGAAGCACCTTGTTTTTCCATCAATTTCCAGGGACAGTTGTGCAGGATATCTCAATCTTGGCTGAAGATTATTATCTTTCAAAGCTTGAATTATTTCCCCCCATGCTCTTCGTGATTTGATGGTTTGTGCAGAGAAATCTGCTGTAATTCTGATGGGTGTTCCCTTGTAAGTGGTCTGTTTCTTGTCTCTGACAGCTTTTAATATTCTGTTCTTGTATTGAATTTCTGGAATTTTTATTATTATATGCCTGGGTGTTTCTCTGTTAGGGTTGTAGGTAGCTGGGGTCCTGTATGCCTCATACATCTGAGTATCTTTACCTTTTGCTAAATTAGGAAAATTCTCCTGGATTATTTCTGTGAGTAGCTTTTGTAGTTCACTTGTTTGTGTCCCTACTTCTTCTTTTATGTTCTTAATCCTTAAGGTATGGATCCTCTTATCATCTTCTTGTCTTTGTATTATTGCTGTTTGTTTCTTTGTTATTTTTAAGAAGTTTTTCATTTCATTCTCCCATATTACAAGTCTGCCCTCCAGATCAGATAGTCTGTCCTTAGTTTCTTTCAAGCTGTTATGCCAGTCTTGGATAGACTTCTTAATTTCTTGATAGTCCCTTTGAACCTGCTTCACGTACTCTATGCTTTCTCTGTTTTCTCCATCAAACAATTCTCCCCTCTTTTTCTGTTCTTCCATTCCACCATCTGTTTTTTCCTGGGTGGTGCTTAGCATTTCTCTAACTATTCTGCATACTTCTAGCTTCAGGTCGTTGATAACTTCATTCCTGAATTGGTCTATGAGGCTCTCTATATGGCGCTTAATGTCTATTGGTGCGGTGTCCGCTATTGCCTGTTTCTCAGAATTGGGGGCCGAGGAGCCTTTCTTGTTGCTTCCCTTCCCCATTTTCTCCGTTCCTTATAAAATGCAAGCTTACATAGGAGGCCCAGCTTCCCTGCCTGTCAGCCACAGCCTGATCAAATTGCGCTGGCTAGGTGTTCCCGCCCACCGCTGCGCACCAGGGAGTTACGGACTAGGCAGCCTACGCGGGAGTCACCCCTCCGGGCCACCGTCAGGCTCTGGGATCTGGGTTAGGCCAGCCTACCAAGTCTGCCCACAGCGTCACGCAGGCCAGACACTTTTCACCAATCCCGTCCGAGAGGGGAATGTGTGGCTGGAGTCGCCACCGCGTCCTGTTCTTACAGGACTGCCCGAGCCCAGAAAGTCCTCCGCTGG